GGTCCACTCACGTCCTGCTGCTGGCACACGCCCTCATGCAGCTGAGACTGACCTGGGGACAACCTCGGCACAAAACAGAGTTTCATACACACACGGTGGCACAGGGCTCTGGGAGCCATCCTGGCAGGCTGGGAAAGACTCCTATGGGACAAGGTCTTTCCCTGATTTCCAGACTGGGTTGTGGCCTCCTGAAGACAAGGCCACCCATATTTTCTGCCGACCTGCGTCTGCAGGGGGAGCGGGCTGTGGGGGGGACTGTTGGAACAAGTCTGTGACAGAGAGAAGTTGAAACTGGAAACAATGCCAGGGAAGGACCCTAATATTGTAGACATGCGGTAAAGGCTTAAATTAGGACTTGGTAAGCACAGGGAAGGGCTTTAGAGACCTCATCTGCTCCTGGGAGGCAAAGTGTCATACTACAGCAGAGGCTGGTGGCCATGGTAGGGTCAGGGCAAAATGGGGCGATTATAGGGAAATTCTTCAGTTTGTGTGTTGAGGAAATAAGACCTGGCTCTTGGTGAATTCCACAGGCGATGTCACTGTACCTGCCAGCCAGTGACCCAGTCATCTGCCCTCCACCTCTCCCTGTGCCCTCTACTAACCTGAATTCTTCAGTTTGTGTGTTGAGGAAATAAGACCTGGCTCTTGGTGAATTCCACAGGCGATGTCACTTTACCTGCCAGCCAGTGACCCAGTCATCTGCCCTCCACCTCTCCCTGTGCCCTCTACTAACCTTCGACTTACAGTCATAAACCTCCACCCACAGGGTCTCTGCTCCTGGCTGCCTTTCTTCTAGGAGACACTAGCCCTCCAAGGTCCAATACCATTTGCCCTTCATGTGTCTCTCCACCATCATCGTGGGGTTTCTACCTTAGGGATCCTTTTTTTAGAGACTATTTTTTCTGCACTGAACATATGTCCCTTCCTTCCACCCCTAGGTCTCTACTTAATTTCTTTCATGAAAGTATATGTCAAGTACATTTATTCTTAATTGTGAAAAGTGGCCAACAAGGAGGTCATAGTCATGACCCACGATGACGTCTGAGCTTCTCACTGCTGCCCAGCTAGACACATGGGGGCAGGGCAGGGTCTGCGTCTCACTGACCAGAAGGCAGAGATTAAGGATGGAGCAGCTGGGTGTGTGGAAGATCTATGGACTTTAGGAACACAGGAAAGTTTGTCCCCAATTTCTGCTTGTTACAAACCATGAGACATTGCAGAAATGGCTCAGTGTCCTTGAGCTTTTCATCTACAAAGGGAATATGTGATTTGCATAAGAGTTGCAAAGCTTCAAGACATATAATGTATACAGAGACTCTAGCACACATGAGGGGCTCAGATGTCACTATTCTACTGAAGTTACCCAGGACTGGACAAGCTGCAAGGAGATAATGGCAGAGAAGTGGAAACATTCAGTGCATACATGTGAACCTGGTCTTTGCTGGTTGGGAGTGCTCTGAGCTCAGCAGGACACAGCAAGACTTTGAAACAATTGAAAGTATCCCTGGAAGGAGCAAAGCCTGGGTGGAAGCCTGAATGCTGTCACTGTCAGAGCTGGGGCAGGAAGTTTGTGCACAGGACGTTGGTGACTCTGCAGGGCTGTGCCAAGCTGCTGGCACAGAGATACAGAGCCGAGTCCCCCAGCTCCAAAGAGCTCACGTTCAGCTCAGAGCGATAGTCAGGGAACTGGTGAGCTGAGAATCTGTCAGGGAAGTTTCCTTTTGCTCTCTGTCCTTCACTGTAATATTCAAAAAGGAACTGGGGGCCCTGACCCAGGACATGTTGGTACCAGAACACACTGAGGTGTCCAGAGATAGGGGTACATCGCAGTGTCACTTCCTGTCCTCTTGTTTTGATCAGGTATCTTGGCATTTGGGTGACTCCAGCTTCCACTGAGCCTGTGGGAAAAGCAGATGGAGAGTGATCACAGGAGAGAGGTTGGTGCTGCTTCCACAAAGGAAAGTGGAGGATGCAGGAGTTGGCAGCTCAGCACAGGGGTGCCTTCCTTGTCCACAGGACTCACCTGCTCCCAGGAGACAGAGCACCACCCAGCAGAGGAGCCTGGAGTCCATGGCACAGCCAGGGCAGGCAGCACGGGGCCTCTATGCTCAGGCCGTGGTCTTCTTGGGCAAGAGCTGAGTTCTTGGCCTTGCCTTTCCTCATTGGGGGAGTTCCCTGTGATGTCACTGTCTT